AGAGAGAGAGAGAAAGAGAGAGAGAGAGAGAGAGAGAGAGAGAGATTAAATGAGAAGAGATTTATTAACCACATTCTATCTCTATCTCCTCACCCCCACCACCCCCTCTGACAGCTGACCAGTCCACTGTGTTCTACCAACCCCGTCACCTCAAAGAGTCCACCATCTGCGACGTCTGTGACAGGTGTTGCCAGTAACAGGATAACGGCCCGGGACTACTGACAGTTTCAATCATTCCTGGGCGTTTGTCTTAATTGCAAAGTAGCCAAATAAAATTATTAACAAATAAGGAGAATATACATGGATGTTACTGTAAATTCTATTAAGCGTTTAGTGTTTACGAAATTGTTCTCTGAGCCCTCATCAAGAGCATGAAAAAACAAGCTGGATAAAACAAAACATAACCTCGAATCAGTCAATCATTCAGTTATATTAGTTAAGCAAGCAAGCAAGATAGCGAACAATAAATAAATAAATAAATACATTAAAAAATAATTGATTACATAATCAATTAATCAATTTTTTAAAAATAAAAAATTGGTCGATCAATCAATCAAGTATTCAACCAATCAATCTGCAATCAATCTACCAATCATGCATTTTTCTTCTGGCTTTTTAAACCTTGAATCTTATAAGGAGTACCAAATTTCAAAGACAAATCAGAAAGGGCTTTCTGAAGCAGAAGACAGAACAGCTTCCAGATGACTGATGAGCGGTTCCGAAGCTCCTACTGAATATAATCACGTGACCTATATTATTAGAGTGCAAGTATACCGCGACGCAAGTACCCACTCCCTTAGCTTCCCATAACCTTGTGCATAATTACAATATTTGAAAGTTGTATTCTAATTTTCGGGAGAAAATCCAATTTTGTATGGCAGCTTGTCCGAATGTTGTTGTTTTTCTGGATGAATTTATATATTATCCTTTGTGCTATCACTGTCGTTGTTTCTGAAAATGAAAAATAAAACACATCTTTAAGAATAAAAAAAACATCCTGACTTGTGGTCGGTTCATTCAAATTTGGAAAACTTGATGCTTGATGTTAACTCTTTAAGGATGTAGAGAACACAATAATGTGCAACAGCAGACCAAAAGCCATGTTGTATCACATTTGAACGATCATACACGAATCAGAAACACAAATGTGTGTACTTTTCATTGTGTGCGATTTGTTGGAAGGGAATTTTTTGTTTGAAATAAAGGGAAAATGAACTGAAAAATGTAGACCCCTATTTATGATACATAAATCACGGAGTCATTTTAGTGTCCAATAACAGCATGTCTTCAAGCGTGGTCAGATAAACAGAATGTGTGTCCTTATTAGTCCTTAAAGGGTTAAGAACAAGAAAGGTGCGTTGTGTTTGTGTGTGTGTGTGTGTGTGTGTGTGTGTGTTTGTGTTTGTGTGTGTGTCTGGGTGAGAGGGAGGGGAGAGGGGGGTGAGAGGGAGGTGAGAGAGGGTGAGGAGGGGAAGGAAGTGTTTCGAGATGGTTTGTTTTCTGATGTGTTAACTCTTCGTAACGCCTGACTTATCAATGTGTGGGCAAAAAGTGTGAAGGGAGTGACTGATAATATGTATTCAACGCAGAGCACGCGAAAAGTTTTTCTTGAAGTATGTTTTACATGTATTTGTTTGTTTGTTTGTTTGTTTGTGGGGGGGGGGGTTTAGTAGAAAGGGTCATGATATATTGAATATTGAAACCTGAGAAGCAGTGACCCGGGGGACCCGATTCTTCAGCCTTATTGAACACAGTCAAAGATGAAACCTCCAGGTATTCTAGATATTGAACACTGCTGCCGGGAGTACAATAAGCCAGTCACACCACAGCATGTGTGGTTAGCTCCGGTTGGCAGAAGACGGTGTATAGCAACGGTCAAATGACGCTCAGTCGATGTCTCCATGTCCAGGAAGCTATGGTGCTTCTTTGAGATAATAAAAGACAAAATTAGATAAGACATTTCGCTACCATAACATTACAAAATTCTATCTGATATTTTTTGCCGCTTTGAGTTCTAGACCATGAGATCGGAAATTATATGTTTTATCTGCTCTGAGAAATGAATGGGGAACCATGCTCGCCGATTTCTGTCGCAGATCTGGCACTGAATGATGATGATGATCTGCTCTATCAAAATTGTAAGATAACTCGGAGTCGTTGTCAAGATATTCAAAAAACTGCATTTTGAAAAGATTGACATGTTGTGGTAATCAAAATTTTTTAGGTCATATTTCTCAAAACTAGGTACATTGTACTGAGCAGACAGAACTTGGTAATTCTAGGGTAGTGATTTATCATTATTCCCCCATTGATTCTGCGTCTGATTCGACAGAGCTTAGATCCTCTTAGGGTAAGACCACGTTAAGGACGGACGACACGACAACTGAAATCGTCCGTGTTGTCCGTGGTAAAAACCGACCACATTAGCAACGGACAATTTCCACGCCATTCTATCGTCTGACATAGCGTGTACCAGGAGAAAGAAATTGTTTTTGTTATGGTTATGGTTGAAGAGGAGACAGAAGAGACAACGACAACTTGTTTTTTTTTTTAATATGGCATTCACTCAATATTGAGACAGTGTGAGACTCTCGGTGTATTTCATAATTTACACCCGCGATTGTTCGAAAACGATGAACAATTTAGGAATTATTTTTTAATGAAACCCAGTAACCCAGTAGTCATAGATGGCTGGTCTCTTTTGGACTGCAATAAAATGAGTAGTTCTTCATTAATGTTTGTGATATACAAAGCCAACAAGACATGTACAATACTTTTCTTTTTACTTTTTAGTGACATTGCATCGGTGCTATAATTTATCAGCAACAGGAGGGGGAAAAAGAGAAGTAATTCTGAAAGGGGGGGGGGGGGGGGGGGGGG